GACCACGTGGACTGCGTGCGCCTGCTGCTGCAGTACGACGCCGACATCGACGACATCACCCTGGACCACCTCACGCCGCTGCACGTGGCCGCGCACTGCGGGCACCACCGCGTGGCCAAGCTGCTGCTGGAGAAGGGCGCCAAGCCCAACTCCCGGGCCCTGGTGAGCCCCGGCGGGTGGGATCGGGCAGCGGGATGCGCTCCCAGGGGATGACCCCCTTGCCCCCTGCCTCTCTCCCTGTGCAGAACGGCTTCACGCCGCTGCATATCGCCTGCAAGAAGAAGCACACCCGGGTGATGGAGCTGCTGCTGAAGATGGGGGCCTCCATCGACGCCGTCACGGAGGTAAGCGGGGCTGCGACGCAGCGCCCGTGTCTCCTGCCACCACCCGTGGGGAGCCTGGTGACCTTCCAGCGCCCTCCTCCTTGGAGCTTAGAGCTTCTTTGAGCCCCAGGGCTCCTCTGCACTGCCCTGCAGGGCTGCTGGGGGGCTATGGATGAGATCCTCAGCCTCCCCCTTGCTCTCGGGTCCTCTCTCCCCGCACAGTCCGGCCTGACGCCGCTGCACGTGGCCGCCTTCATGGGGCACCTGCCGATCGTCAAGACCCTGCTGCAGCGCGGAGCGTCCCCCAACGTGTCCAACGTGGTGAGTCCAAGCCCGGCCGGGCTGCGGGGGGCTCCTCGTGGCGGGGTGCAGCAGACGGGGAGTCCCGGTGTCCCCGGTCTCCTGGGCAGTCCTTGGTGGACCTCCCCTTTAGGGGCCATGACAAGGTGGGGACAGCGTTCCGCCACCCCTGGGGACCTGAATGATGGCAGGAAGGCATCTGCTCTGCAGTGGCCTCATGGCTTTATTCTCTCCTTGGTGCAGAAGGTGGAGACACCCCTGCACATGGCGGCCAGAGCAGGGCACACGGACGTGGCAAAGTATCTGCTGCAGAACCAAGCCAAAGTGAATGCCAAGGCTAAGGTAGGTGCAAAGACCTTGGGAGCTGGTTCCCTTGCTGTTGTGGCCCTTCCTGCTGGGAATAGGACCGGATCTCCCTGTCCCGAGGCTGCTTCGGGATCTACCAACCGCGTCCCGCTTTGCTCCCAGGACGACCAGACCCCTCTGCACTGCGCCGCGCGCATCGGCCACACCAGCATGGTGACACTGCTGCTGGAGAGCGGCGCCGACCCCGACCTGGCCACGACGGCCGGCCACACGCCGCTGCACATCACCTCCAAAGAGGGCCACGTGGACACGGCGCTGGCCCTGCTCGAGAAGGGCGCCTCGCAGACCTGCATGACCAAGGTATTTTTTTTTGGGGCCACCTCCCCCCTGCCCGTGCACGTGGCGGTCCTCGTCTCGCCGGCCCTGTGCCCCCTGTGACGGGCTCCCTTTCTCCCCAGAAAGGATTTACCCCTCTGCACGTTGCAGCCAAGTACGGGAAGGTGGACGTGGCGGAGCTGCTCCTGGCGCGGGATGCTCACCCCAACGCCGCGGGGAAGGTGAGCGCTGCTCCCGCGGCTGCGCAGGAGCGGGATGGCCACAGCCTCCGTCTCACTTCTCCCTGCTCCCACCCCTTCCCAGAACGGCCTGACGCCCCTGCACGTGGCCGTGCACCACAACAACCTGGAGATTGTCAAGCTGCTGCTTCCCAAGGGCAGCTCCCCGCACAGCCCGGCCTGGGTAAGGCTGCACGGGGCATCACGGGGTGCATGGGGACGGGTCCTCCCTCCGTGCCGAGGAGGTGGTTTGGCTGCAGAACTGCTTTGGAGAGGCAGGAAGGCACCTGAGCCCCGCGCGACGGCTCCTCTCTCCTTGCAGAACGGCTACACGCCGCTGCACATCGCGGCAGCAGCAGCAGATGGAGGTGGCCAGCAGCTTGCTGCAATACGGAGCTTCTGCAAACGCCGAGTCCCTGCAGGGAGTCACCCCCCTGCACCTGGCTTCCCAGGAGGGCCACGCGGACATGGTGACACTGCTCTTCTCCAAGCAGGCCAACGGCAACCTTGGCAACAAGGTAACTTGCGCTTTGCCAGGACACCTTAGTAGACAGACACAGCAGTGGCATCGCCACTGAGCCCGTGACCTCCTCCTTCTGCAGAGTGGCCTGACTCCTCTCCACCTCGTGGCCCAAGAGGGGCATGTACCAGTTGCTGATGTTCTGGTGAAACATGGAGTCGCAGTGGATGCCACAACCAGGGTAAGTTGGAGGGTCGACCCTGTCGGAGGGTGCAAATGCGTGGAGGAATCGCATCTCGGGCTCCCTCCGAGAGCAGCCTTGCTCTCCTGTCCCTCTGTGCAAGGCTCTTCCCTCGCTCAGGCATTCCTTCCCATGCTGTCTGCATCGCGGGGATGCTTCCTGTCCGCTCCCCGCTGCATCCCTGGGCGCAGCGCGGTGTCCATGGGATCAGCACACCAAGCCGGGGTGGCAGAAAGCGCGGACGAGGACGCCCTGACTTGCCTTGTCTTTCAGATGGGCTACACCCCGCTGCACGTGGCCAGTCACTACGGGAACATCAAGCTGGTGAAGTTCTTGCTGCAGCACCAGGCTGACGTCAACGCCAAGACGAAGGTACAGAGACGGCTCCGAGGCCCCTTGAGCAGCACCTGAGGGGTGGTGGGGAAGGCTCAGGTTGCCCCTAGTCCTTTGTTCCGAGCCCTTCGCTCCGCATGGTCGGGAGTATCCTTTGTGCTCCAGGCCTGCGGGCCTTCCTGTGGTGGCACGGAGCCCTGGAGGTGACAGCAGCCCCGTGTGTCCCCCCTGCAGCTGGGCTACACCCCCCTGCACCAAGCGGCGCAGCAGGGCCACACCGACATCGTGACGCTGCTGCTGAAGCACGGTGCATCTCCCAACGAGATCAGCACGGTGAGCAGGGCTCTCGCTTGCCCCGGGATGAGCTCGGGCGCCCTCCTGACGCGGCTGCAGCGGCCCCATGTCCCGTCTCCTTGCGCAGAACGGCACCACCCCTCTGGCCATTGCAAAGCGCCTCGGCTACATTTCGGTCACGGACGTGCTGAAGACCGTCACGGAGGAAACTGGCATCCCGGTGAGTGCCTGGAGGGATGCTGGGAGCCAGGAGAACATGGCCAAGCTCCAGTGTGGGAGCCCAGGCCCATGTGAAGCTGATGCCCGCAGGGCTGGGCAGTATCTGGGCTTGCTCCGACTCCCCTCTGCTCTTGCAGTCAGTTGGTGAAAAGCATCGCATGAGCTTCCCAGAGACGGTGGATGAGATCCTGGATGTGTCAGAGGATGAAGGTGAGGGGTGGGAACTGGGGACACACCGGGGTCCTTGGGGGAGCTGAGTGACCCTGTTGGGTCAAGAACCCACGAACCTCTTGGTGGCACCTCCTGGCCCACAACCTTCCCCGGCACTGTGCAAGAGTCCACGACTCCGTGTAGGTGCCGTGCCCCGGCCTTGCAGAGCACCCGGCAGGGCCCATCCACGTGCGGAGCCCTCGCGCTCCCTCTGGCAGCACCTCACCTTTGCCTCTTCTTACTTTGCAGGCACTGCTCATGTCACTCTGATGGGTATGAAACGTGTGTCCCCACAACCCTGGCTCAATGGCCCATCTCACCCCCACGGCCACTAACCCATCCGCACGCCACATCCATCCGCTGAGTCGCGCTGCGCCGCGGCGCCGGCCCCGCCATCCCCGCCCGTCCATGTCTGTGCTGCTCGCTGTGATGTGACTGCATGAACGGGGCTGTCCCTCCGTGTCCCCTGCCCGCCCCCGGCTCTGCCGAGCGCTGGTGCCGCTCCACAACCGCCCTCGGCCCTTCTGGTCAAGGATGCCAATGCTGGAGGGGGTCCTCCATGCTGCCCATCACCCTGGCGCCAGTTCCGTGCTTTGGGCAGAGCTGGCAAAGCTGGGCGAGCTCCCAGGGCTCGGCAGATGCTACCGGCTCCATCCCGGAGTGGGGGACCGGTGCTCCCCCTGCTCCTACCCTCGGTGTCTCAGCGCACCTCTTGCTTGCAGAGGAGGAGCTGCTCGTGCCCAAGACCAAGCCGGCCGAGGCCAGGGAGCAGGAGGGCAAGAGGGAGCTGCTGGAGCTGGTGACCGAGACCACCCTGGAGCAAACGTACGAGGACCCACCGGGCGGCGAGGGGGGACGTCTGCAGCAAGGAGTCTGAAACCCAGGATCCCTGGATTTCAGTTCGCTGCCGATTCCCTGGGAATGGAAAAGGGGGCTTGTCTGAGGGTCCCTCTTTGAGTGACCGCCACTGTCCTCTCCCGCGCAGTGTGGAGTCTCCAGCCATCCCA